AATTGCTTAGTCGATGGCCCCAAAAAGTACAACCAACGCTTTGGAGAGACCAACGGTTGAGCACTAGTGATCTACGAATATCCTCAGTTCTTAACGACGATGTTTTACATTTAAAGCAGAACACATCAAACTGAACAGTAAGCTGGTCCTTCGGTTGGCAAACAGTCATCTTCTCTACACCATAAGTGACCCAAGTAAGCGGAGGCCACATTAAACCGTAAGATAGTTAATAAAGAAATTTTCTAGACTTTCGATAAAATGACTCGCAACTTAAATACACAGAAACCTGGTATGCACAATCCACCACTGACGAAGCTGGAAACTGAAGTCTTTGAGAGGTCCTGAATGTAATCTAGCGATCATAAATAAAACGTAGTTATCATCCGCCATTTCTGAGTGAGTAACCTGAGAAAGCCCACATCCTACGACCATTTATTGGCACCTAATCATATTATTGGGATAATTTTCACACAAGCATGTTAATTTGTAGGGAAAATAATCCTACTGGCCGGTTGGTCTTATCTTTAGTTTACTAGGCTGCCCATGTTAGTAACTCGGTCCCGTGAACATTTATCAATCAGTCAGCACTTTCTTCACCCATGTTAACAATACCCATATGTCCTTAACACTATCAGAATAAATTCAAAGCAAGTTTTCATAAAAATTTTACAGTGAGATGGATTTCACTACTTTCAAATGCTGAACTTCGCTACAGAAATGAATGATATATGTTAGTGAGCACTTCAATAAGAAGTTGAGGAGTCAACTGTTTACTCTAGATGTCCCATCTATTCTTGTTGGATGAGAATTGAGCGGAAATTTATTGCATGCATTTAGTAAATCACCCTCAAGACTACTTAACTCGACTATGCACCCACTCGATTCCCAACAACACATCAGAAAAGTAATGTGGGAATTATCAGAACAAAAGTAGAGCATTCATTATATCAGAATTAGTGGTAGACTAGATAGTGAACTTGCAGTACTGAGTAGCAAAAATTAAAGGAACCACTTTCAACCACGTTACGTGATGCTTCCAACCTCACTGTCTTTTGCAGAGTGAGATGTCCACGCCACTTAACATGTTAAGCCAAGCTTCCATCACCTTATTTCGACTCTAATACTAGTATGGACAAAATATGCAGCTTGGCAGTGACTGACAGGTTGTAATAAGCGTAGTAACTGAGCTGGGAAGTATAAAAAAAAACCCAACGTCCAACTTCCCACTTTAAGAGACCGGATTGTACGCCGAGTAACTACCCACTAGTAAAATGCAAGTCTGACCAGTCTGCATGTCATTTTCAGGGTACATAGACGACATATGCAACATGGATGTTATGAATTACTTTAGAGACAGTAATCCTTAATAAATCATGTACTGGTAAATCCATACCTGATACCTAGAGGTATGCCGATATAAAATTACATTACAATGAATGCATGAACCAACTAGTTGTTACAAGACGAAAACACTCAATGGTTCTAAGATATGCTATGTTATGGCAATATAAAACATACCTGCGTCAGTTTCAGGCATTTCTGGGGAACCTGATGAAGTCGACTACAACTTACGACTTTGAATTCTAGATTGGCGCTAACGAACGGTAACTTGTACTTCAACAACTCGATATTCAATATATTTGTGACGCATTTATGTCAGTTAATTTCTTTTCATTCGACTCTTGGTGTTAAGTCGTGTTTCAAGATTCTGGATAAATTCGAATATTTTCAGCCCAGCTCCAAAAAAACCTCAACTTAATCATACTTGTTACTCCTCGTCCAAGAGCATTGACCGACTACCAGCATTCGCCATCCATGTCTGTTCTGGGCAATCCTTCCCAGTTGTTTCCAGTTTTTATTCGTTATATTCATATTTGCTCCCACTTCTCGACACAGTGTGTCCTTTGACCTTCCTCTTCTCTGTTTCAAATCAGGATTCCATGTTAGAACTTGCTTCATGATGCGTTTAGTGATTTCCGTAATGTATATCATGTCCACTTAAAGGGTCCTAGTTTCCTCTTCATCTGGAAACTGGTTCGTTCTCTTCTACATTGGGCTGTTTCTGATGATTTTTAGTTGATGGATATTCAAGATTTTGCATGGAAAACTATTCATAAATGCCTGTATATTTTTGATAATGGTTGTGGTAGTTCTCAAAGTCCCAACTCCGTACAGTAGAACTAAATGTCTCGACGTTCGTAGTGAAGGTTCTGATTTTTCTATTGGTGGACGAATGTTTTGAATTCTATGTGAAGGAATGCTGAATTTCTATGCTACCTCTTCAATAATTTATGGGATAAAAAAGCCAGGTCATCTGCTAAGATCAAATAGTAGTTGCATTTTGTTCCTTTTTTTTTCGGGACGTCTGGAACGGATGAAAAAATCGGTGAAATTTAAGTGAATAGTCATTTTGATTGTACTTTTCTCATTGCCATATTATACCACACGGCTCCTGATATGAAAGAAAGACGAACAGATGCTGCTAAACATAACAAGCTATTAAAAGAGTGTTTGCAAACACTAAGATTGTTAGATTTCAACTTCTTACTGGTCATGTCTTAGGATCATCACTACCTCACTGGGGATGGAGGGAGTTGTAGCTGTTAATAAATCCTTAAGATAAGTAGCTCTGTAAGTATTCAAGATGGATGCAGACCTCATTAGTTTCAATGGACACATATAGCTTAAGGTGCTCGTTCACACATCCGTATCAGATCACGTGTGGATACGCTATGCTACTCATCAGTTTCAACTGTTAGCAAGCTTAGATTAAACGTTCGCTCGACATAACAACAGCTTCCCAATTACAACTCCGAACTCAGTTTTTCACTTCGAATTCTACTAATTTGGCACACTTTGGTTACACATGTGCTATGAGTAAAGGCGTTGTCAAACTATGAATAACTGTGGCATCTTTAGGACTATCTCATTCATTTTACACAACTGATATGTTTTCAGATTTATTGTCAACTTATTATCAAGATCTAAACTAACGTTTGACAACAGAATGCCTCAGTGAAAAAACCAAGTCTTTCGTAATTGGATATTATGAGAATATTGTTTATAAAATTTTTATTGTTTATTGAACGGTTGTCATAACAATAAAAGTGAGGAAATATTCAAATAAAACATTTTCACAACAATTTCCTGGTTTTGGAGGATTTATATACTCAGATTCGCTTAATCCGTCAGAGAAGTAAAGTAACATTGGGTTTCAACACTGTTTTCTCAAAACGCACATAGTATTGCGTATTACTTTGATCGTGTAGGTTAAAAATTATCGGATCTCTTTGCTTAAAGCATATTTTAATGCATGTATCTGTTTTAAATATGTGTTCTCACATATTATATGTCCTTAAATTATAATAACTGTAAATTAGTGATATTATTTGCATGCACACACATTCAAATTGTTTGATTTAAAATTTCGAAAGCTCTCAAAAGTGTTTATTGGTACTTCGGAAAGATTTCTAGAGTATCATTTGTCATGAATGCTGATATTTGTAGTTATACTTATTCTGGCACATTGCTCGTCAAAATAAATTGATATGTTGTGATCCTGCATTCGTGTACAAAGTGATGCGCATCACTTTGGGTTGTCATATCCATTTGAGGTAAGGAACAAAGCGTGTTCTTAATCCCAAAATAATAAAAAATATTTCAATAATGAGACTATAATCCGGTATTAAATTGTACTTGGATTATCAATCGAGCATCTGGAGAAAGTATAGATTAAAAATAGGTTAACAGGAGTATTATTGATGAAAATCTAAACTAATTATCACGACTTATTATCCATTATTCAGAATTATTAACTAGGCGTCATAACTGTTTCATGTTAATTGATAAGTGGGGAAGCTTATTGTGATATAGATGCCTACTAAGTCAGTCAGTCTACTCTATGTAGGACTTGATAAATCTATACATCATTCCAAGTTGCCACACCACACTAGCACAGTGAGATAACATTATTTTAAGACAAATACCAGGACAGTATGAGTAATATTAGTAGAAAAGATATAAGGCCTATAAAGAGATTTTACGACTCATACTCAAGACGAAAACAAGGAATGTATGTACAAGCGCTATTGGAAAAGATTTTGAGATATATTGTTGAAAGTCTTTAACCACTGATCATACAGAGAAATACATAAAACTTAGGACGAATTTCCAGCTTTAACATATCATACATATGGATGACTAGATATATGTGATTTTTAGTATATATTTTTTCTACACCATTTATCTATCATAGAATACGTGTTATTCAGGTGAGTAACGTGTTCTTCATCTAAATTCAGTCGAAGTATAGTAGATTACTCGCAGATTGGGTGCCTAAGATTATGTATACCAAGCGTATACGTGATGGTATATTCCGATTCTTGTTTCTGGAAAATCAAACCTTCCATTAATGCTCAGTAAAAACCTTACATAAATCCACTGACTGCCCCGACGTGCAATGATTTATGGTGTAAGAGTAGGTTGGAAGAAAGCTAGGTGCGACCAGACTAAAACATGGCACAATTCTATGAAGTCACGGACAAGTGGACTGAGCCATTTTGGTAGGTGTAGACTAGCTGATTGTGATCCGCGAGATGATAGCAACCGATGGTTAGAGATCTTGAATGACATGGCTGAAAATCGTTTGCAATGGTGCAGATGGATCCACTCTTTGTGTTCTCTCAAACTCCAATCTTCCAAATTCTTCATATCCTTTGTTTTCTTCCCAAATCTATTCCACTGACTGATACTCCTTAAATAACATCATCAAACTGAATCTCTGTGCTAATGTGGTGTGGCAACTTGAAGTGATGTACGTACGTACGAAGTTCTACGTTGTTACTAAATGACTGACTGATTGATTGACCTTTCATTATTTTTTAATCTTGTATTATCATCATTTTTGTTTTAGAGTTACTCAGAAGCTTTTTCACCTACAATTTAACAAAATCTCACTGACCGGACGAAAAAGCATCAATCTTACGTCTTTTGTTACAAAGATGGTTCAAGTATTTTGTCCAAAAAAAGAAATATCCATATTCATTTTATAGGTATCACAAATCGATGCTTATCATTTATTGAAAGATAAAGCTGATAGTTTTAACTTATTATGTATTATGGAATCTATAATTGGTGGTCTTATGCTTGAACAACCTAAAAATCCTATTGAATATATTAAAAATCGTTTGATTGATATAAAGCATATACAAGAAAATGGTAAACTACATAATGAATTATATACTTGGCCACATCATCCAATATTAAATTCATACAAATCTCTTACAAATGATGAACATTATAAATTTCTTAGAAATTGTTTTTATCATCGTATTAAATGTTTACAAGAAGAGAAATTATCTCTTGAAAATACATTTGAACATGAATCTAAAACGATTGAAATTACAAATCCATTCTTTTCATTAACAGAAGTTTCTTTAACTTCATAGATATATATATATATATATATATATATATATATATATATATACAAATGTAATCTATTCTATTAGAAGCTTTTTATGTTACTTTTTTATATCTTTTGACAAATGATTAGTTACTAGAATGGGTTTTGTGGAGAATTGGTAATTTCAATAGTTGAAATCATGAATCAATTGAAGCTAGACCCCCATGGAAAACCTGGAAGCACTGGACGGCCGTTTCGTCCTAGTATGAGACTGATAGGTCCTGTGTTCGAATCCCGCGGGAGGGGGCGGGATCGTGGATGAGCACTGCTGAGGAGTCCCATAATAGAACGAAACGGCCGTCCAGTGCTTCCAGGTTTTCCATGGGGGTCTAGCTTCAATTGATTCATGATTTCAACTATTGAAATGATTAGTTGTATAGTACCATGTAATTTAGTATTTAGTTCTTTTTTAAATATACATTTGATGTTTGTAATACTTCAGTGGTCTTTTGATGTCTTCACATCTTTACCGAAGTACATAACCTTGAATATGAGAACTATTGTGACATGAAAGTCAGGCTTTTCATTTATCATGTGATTTATTCGTCAATCGAAATACAACTTATACAACCTTAGTGCTGTGTTAAATCAATGATATTCTATCGGTATGAGCAACTTAGCATCCCTGTTGGTCCTCTATTAACCTAACCTGTTCAGTTGAGTCTAGAACACCAATAACAGGTACCCACTATGCGAATCATTTATTTTAAACATACTTGGTTTATATACACAAGCTAAACAGACTACATTACATCAAAAAACAGGGAATAACATTTATACAAGATCAAGCCAAAATGTGACTGTGATCATGGGAAGCTGAAATCAATAAACTGAACATAACTTATGAACAATGAATCGTATAATAACAATCTATAAATCAAAATAAAGCTTATAATAAGAGAAATAAAGATATATATTATGTAATTACTGAATAGTCCATTAATAGTTCTCGGAAGTTACTCGTAACTTAATGTTCACTAGAATATAACAAGAATCATGATTTATTGGGACAATGTAAACATTTAATCGATACTTTATTTCATAGAGAAAGTAAACGTTTCCATGACTACATTTTACTATAATCTCTGTTGGTTTAATTATGGTAGAATAAGATCTGAAATGAATAAAAAAAAATGAAAAAAAAGATTAATGTCATGTTAAACAATGAAATTTATTAGGAAAGTGTTTGATTATGGAATTAAATGTAGTGCCAAAGAGAAAAACAGAAATCTCATGAAAGATATTTGTTTTAATAGAATGGATATTGTGAATTACAGGTTACTCTATCTAAACATGATTATGTTTCAATAGTTGAAATCATAAGTCAATTGAAGCTAGACCACTATGAAAAACCCGGAAACGGCCGTCCAGTGCTTTCAGGTTTTCTATGGTGGTCTAGCTTCAATCGGTTCATGATTTCAACTATTGAAAATACTAAGATCTGCACAAAAAACCCCTTCTGATAATAATTACCAGCTCACTAGTGACTGACTTCAAGAGGCATCTTCTGAGGTTCCAGTGAGAAGCCGTAACCAGTGGAGTTTAACCAGGTCTGTTGTGAGATATGAGCTCACAGAAGACAATGGTGTGCGGTGGCCCAATTTGGTGGATTAGTTAAAGTTAAGCATTAACACCGTTTGATCCAAGCCGGTTCGATGGTCTAGTGGTTAAGTGCTTGCACGCGAGACCGATAGATCCTGGGTTCGAATCTCTCGAGGCAGAACCCTGGATGCGCACTGCTGAGGAATCTCATAATAGGACGAAACGCCCGTCCGAGGCTTCCAGGTTTTCCATGGCGGTCTAGTTAACTCATGATTTCAACTATTGAAATTACTAAAATTTTCACAAAACTCCTTCTAATAATAATTATGTTTTTCCAATTCCCGTTGAAAGGGATGATTTTAATGTAAGGAATAAGCGTCAACTAAAAGACAGAATCGCATTGATTTATCCAGTTGCTAAATTATTAATCACATATGTAATGAAAAGACTATTCAAACATTTACATTAAACAACAGACCTCCTCTAGTTATATCTACCACTTCACTTGTACCTACAGCAGAATGAACGTTAGGAGAATGGAAACTATGATATTCAGATGAATCTTGGAATATATGATGAAGTATTTGATCTTGAACAGCGTTAAACTACATGATAACTCCAATAAACAAATATTTATTTATTTAAACACATAAAGATTGGTACAAGGAGGCACCAAATAGATATGCGCTACATAAATCATTCGATTTTTGTAAGGGCTGAGATACTGCCCCGGTGCCCAAACCAAAACAGATGATTTAGTTACGGGGGCACACCCGGAGTCTTCGACCTGGAGGCAGACCATGTGCACCATTGGTTTGAAATGAGGGTTTTCAAACTTCCCTAGGTGTTCTTCAGCTGGAAGAATACTACTCTTGCTTTGCCAATCTTCGCTTTTACGCCTGCATCTGATCCACCTTGTTCATCGATGATACTGAAGAATTCCACACCTTCCAGAATTTCATCACCAAATGTGCTTCTTGTTTATTTGACTTCACTTTTATTTAATAACAAAAATTTCATTGTTCATTATAATCATGTTTCCATTCTTAATTAATAGTTATTAGGACGAATTTTTTTATCATTTTAACATTATTCAACAGTATGTTTTACCTCTTATCTTATCAGTCAATTATGGTCTTATACTCTGCACAACTGTTGTGTATGCCACTTATGTCTGTTGACAGATATAATTACACTAATGTTCGTCATTGCTTACTACTATAATAAGGTAATGTGACCGGTGACTGAGATTATATTATTATTAGACTAGATACTTGATCGGTGCACTAAACACAAACTGGGATCATGTTATAAGAGATAGATGGTTCACAACCAAAACTAGCAGTACGACTTCGTCTTCAGACCTTGAGTTTGCCACTTTTAGTCTTATCATTCTTCAACCGACCTGTTTAGCATGGTAGAACCTTGAGGAACGATTGTTCCAGCCAGCATAGCTCCATTAAGGAAGTCCGACCACCAACTCAAGGTAGAAACAACGGTCGAGAACTAGATGATAGGATTTAAGTAAAACTTTATTTAAAACAGCTTCAAACAGTCAACACATGGATTGAAACTGTCATATTTAAATAATGAAATATGAGAAAACAGCAACCTAAAAATTCATTGAATGTTTTTATATATTCAATCACTTAACGAGCATTTGTAGTATTGTGAGGATAGCACACAGGTGAACTCGAGGAAGCTTTAAGAAGCTAAGAAAAAGCCCGAAGATATTCCATGCAATCATTTTTTTTGGAAGAATATTCGAAAATCTCTACGTGTAGCTTCCCTATTGGACACATGCTAAAAACCTCTATATGTCGATTGGATGACTATAATGATGATTTCATTTTTATCAGAAGGGGTTTTCTAAAGATTATAGTAATTTCACTAAATGAAATCATGGGTCAAGTGAAGCTAGTACACCGTGGAAAACCTGGTATCACTGGATGGTCGTTTCGTCCTACTGTGGGATTCCTCAACAGCGCGCATCTAGGACCCTGCTTCGAGAGATTCGAACCCAGGCCCTATCAGTTTCGAGCGTCAACGCTTAACCACCAGACCACCGAACCGGCCTGCATCAAACGGTGTTAATGTTTAACTTTAACAAATCCACGAAATCGCGCCACTGTACACCATTGTCTTCAATGAGCTGATATCTAAAAAAACAACAACTGTGAATACCTGAGAGTTTTGTACCATAATTAACACTGTTTTGAAATAACATTCCTTTTCACTTGTCTTCTGTCTTCTCATTTGTGACTTTAGAGGATTCTACCGTTCGACTGCTCAACTTGTGCGCGGTATCTTAATAATCTCAGCTCTAAAATTACAACAGGCATATTATGTTTACAAAACTTTCAATGACTACTTTTAACATATAAGTAGTATAAATATATTTTAGGATGAAACATGCGCATCCTAGACACCACTGCTCACCACTATCCATCTTTGTTTATTACTATTTCAGAATGTTTTCAATTTGGTTCTTACCAGTTATAAGGTTAATCTTGAAACCAGTTTCAATTTGATCAAACTCTCAATAACTCATATGAATATCATCAATGTTCAATAAGTTGATCATTGTAGATCATCTCAGTCATTTTTCGACTAGTGAATGCTGAGTATTATAGAGTGTAAACGTTATAAATATTTAATTTAAGCTAAAATTTGATCATGAATCGATTGATGTTAGACCAGCATTGAAAACATGAAAACATTGAACGGCCGTTTCGTCTAATCATCGGATTCCTCAGCAATGCGCAACCACGATCCTGCCCAAGGGATTTGAACCCATAATAATGGATATACATAGTCAAGATCATCCTAGCTGTCTATAAATATGTATTAAATAGTGTTCATTTGACAAAAGATATATTTCATACAATCTTATTTCACTCTCCTATGTAATTTGGCCTGGCCAGACACTATCAGCAACAACGTACTAAGGGAGAGCACAAACCACATCCCAGAGGACGAAGAAATCAGGAAAAAGCGTTGGAAGTGGAAAAGGACACACATTGAGGAAAGCACACAACTTCGTCACGAAGCAAGCTCTCACTTGGAATCCTCAAGGCCAAAGGAAAAGAGGAAGACCAAAGAACATATTACGTCGAGATAAGGAGACAGACATGAGAAAAATGAACAAAAAATGGATAAAACTAGAAAGGAAAGCCTAGGACAGAGTGAGTTGGAGAATGCTGGTGGGCGGCCTATGCTTCATTAGAAGTCACAGGCTTAAGCAAAGTAAAGTATGTAGTTGGTTTGACAAAGTGTTAACAGTGTTCATTAGTTATTGAATATAATGAACTTCAAATTGCACAAGATCTCTACAATATACATCATTATATAGTTCATTTTAAGAATTATTACAAACCAGAAAGTACTGACAAGTATAGTATTCTACTTTGGAATTCTTAAATAATAAACACTTAAAATCTC